CTCTCCATCCAGTGCTTACTTTATGAAGCTCCCCCCGCTCTCCATCCAGTGCTTACTTTATGAAGCTCCCCCCAGCTCTCCATCTAGTGCTTACTTTATGAAGCTCCCCACCACTTGTTTTTTAGGTTTACTTTCAGGGTGAATATTGAGTTAAATAAAAACTGCAACATCAAACTACTTAATTCTGCTTCCTCTCCAAGGCCTCCCATGTGGGCTGAGCAGAGATACCCTTTGTGGAGGGAGCCGCCTGGTGGGGACCCATAGAAACCTGTCAGAAAATACTCAGGCTGTGAAGAAACTTCAGTTTTCTTCATTCTCAAAATTTCATGCATTGTAATAGTTTCAACTGGATATGATTCTGTTATAATTCACTTGAGATTGTTCATTTATCTTTGTCTTAAAATACAAAAAGGGGGTCCTAAAATAAAACAGCAATCAATCAAACTTTGTGATCAGGGAGCCAGTGCTGGATGCTGGCAACAGCTTTCCAAGGTGGCGCATTTTCTTTGGTCTTGAGAACCACAGTGAAGCAGAAGAGAACAGGGTGCAGTGAGAGAGGTTGCCTCTCGACTTGTTTCCTGAGAAAATGCCATTTACAGTCTGACCCTCAGATAATAACAAAGGTGGTCATACCCACTACTTCTAAATGCATTTTATATCTGGCTCCTAAAATCCATTCACCTGCTCCTTGCTGGTCTCACGTCTAATACAGTGTGAGACCAGCAAGGCTCAAATCCCAGCTTTGTGACCTTAGGCAAACCCCCTAGCCTTCTAAGCCTCAGTAACTTCATCTGAAAAATGGAAATAACCATATTATTTCCTAATTGCACTACATAGCAGAATTGTAGTGAGGACAAGATAACATATTAAGCTTGTGACATTGCCTGGCAGACCGGCTGTCAGCAGATGCTGACTGTAGCTATTCATACTCCTGTCTTCTGGTTAATTTTAAATCTCATCTTCCCTACTGGGCTGTGTGTCTCACAAAGGCAAGAACCATGTCTACTGGATATGTTCAGCCTGTGGGCCAGTAAGTGCTGCCCCAGGACAGAGCAGGGTGTGTGAACATCGGCAGCAGGTGGAAGGCGGGGCTGGGAGTGCATGGTCACTCTCCTGTGCTTCAGATTCAGGACCTGACTTTGGTGAAATGTATAAGTCTGATTGAGCCAAATTTTTAAAAACTGTGATAGAAACATTACTGGGCCAATTTTGTAGTTGAGAGCTACTGTGCTGTCATGAACTTAAATATTCCCCATCTCTCCTCTACCTCTTCCCTCCACCACCCTGATTTTTCCCTTTCCTCTGACCCCTTAACTTTTGCCCACCTGCCTTGCCACTTTTCCCTTCACAAGTCTCAGCTTTTCAGACTGTTCGCTGTGAGTGCACTGGTGCACCCTACACCTGTTGGGTCATCCTGGTCCGTCAGTCCTTCCACTCTGCAGAGAGCACCGAGCAGGTAGTGGCCAGGCCCAGCCCCACAGTCTCAGCACTGGAGAAAACAAGGGTGAGGCAGTATCACCGGAGAAGAGCCCTGTGGGGAATCCAGACCCCAGTTTAGTCCAGGCTCTGCCTTGACCACCAACCGCCTCTGTGCCTGCCTCTGTGGCTAGTTGGCCAGGGGACAGTGGGAAGGGCAGTGTGTCCTTGCTACCAACTCTTCCCTTCACAGAGGGCTGTGGACTGGGAACCCCGCTCTTGGCTCAACTGGCCCTGGTAGATGTAGGGATCATGACTGGGACCTGTGCATGAAGTCGACAGCTTTGCAACCAACAGGCGACTTCAGGTAAAGGCCACAACTGCACCTTAAACAATGGCTACTCCTGTGTAAAGCACTGGGAGTGGGGTGGGGCCTGGGGTCTGAGGACAGAGCCTAAGGGGGTCTCAGGGTCTGAGGGGGACTTGTTGGTTTTGGACTTGGAGCTGCTGGACCTTGTCCTGACCCCCAGATCTGTCCTTCCCCTCCTCTGATCCTCCTGTCCTGCCTCACCTATCTGCTATGACCGTCCCAAGTTTCTGCCTGCACTGAGCTCTGAGGGTTCAGTCTGTCCCCAGCATTCCCTCCCTCCCTGTCTATCTCCCCTCTGGTCCCATTTGCCCCACAACCTTTTTCCCAAATAAAACCTCAAGTGGCTCTAGCACAGGGTGGGCCCCGAGCCTGGTCTGTTCTCCACCCACCTGCCTCATGGGTTCCTGAGGCACCTTTGTCAATACACAGTTCAGGAAATTCTACACTAGATTTTTAGCTGCTGAATGAGCAGGACCCCTCTGAGTCTGTCATGTTCCCAGGACACCTGACTCCTCCAACCAGGAACCAGGCTGGGCGGGTCTAGCCCATGGAGGAGGCAGCAGAGAAGCACGCTGGACACCACACGTTTAAGCACAAGGCATCAGGCACTTCTTGGTTTGAAATAAATAAAATACCTTCTGTTTTTGAACTTAGAGGGCACATGAAGCTTTTTTTGAGTTACTGCTAGGAGTCACTGAAGGGAGCAGTGGAAAAGAAAACCTTGTTTTCTTCCTTTTCAAATTTCACTTCAGAGCTGAAATGACTGCTCCAAATAAGCAATGGCCCCACAGGTGACAGAACAAAGCACCCTGGACTGGCAGCTTGGGCTCAAATGAACTGTGGACCAGTCAGCAGCCTCACATGGGCCCCAGGCAAGATGTCCACAAGCTGGGAACTGGAGGTTGCTGAGCTGGCAACTCTGGTGACAGGGAGGGCTGGGAAGGGACGGTCAGCATCAGACGAGGTTCTGGCCAAGTAATGATCCCAACAAGGGTGGACACCCAGGGGTGGCATGGAGGCAGCTGACCTAATGATCACCAGCAGCCCCAGGGTGATTGGTAAGACCATCTTTTAAGAGGGAACATTATAAAATCACAAATAAGTTTAGTAGTAAGTTTAGTAGGCACCCAACCCAGCCCTCTTCCTTTCCAGTGGAGGCCAGACAGGGCACTCTCCTCTAACCCACTTCTTCCAGCCTGCTCCTAAATTACAAATATTTTCACATTTTACTTAATTTGAGCTAAACACTGTGCCATTCATCTCTGCTTTCATAGGGTTTTTAAAATTTACTTTGTTGATCTGGGGGCAAAGCAATGAGAGAGGATGTTGAAGAGAATCAGGGCGGGCAACATTTAACATTACTCCTAATTTTAATGTATTTACACTTATAAGAGAAATTAAAAATATAAATAGACACCATCAAATTTTAGATCTAAATGTCATGTTCATGTCCAAAGCCTGGCACTGTGGTGGGCACCAGTGGTCCCGGTTATTCAGGAGGCTGAGGCAGGAGGATCCCCTAAGGCCAGGAGTTCAAGGCCAGCATGGGCAGCATAGCCAGAGTGAGTCTCTGAATAAATAAATACATGTGTGCTCAACCAAGGACTAAAAATTAAATTCTGAAAAGAAAACTAAATACTTCTAAAGGGAGACAAAAGAGTTAAAAACTTTCTCCACAAAAATGAGAGAAAATATCCTGTAACACTGCAGTTGCTGAGTCATTTCTGAACAGAGTTTTTATTTGCTACTAAAATAACCAATAACAACAGAAGCTAGGGAACACACTAAATGTAGAAAATAAAATTGGCATTCTGGCATGACCCCCAGCCTATGCTGGAGCATCTGAGCACACGTGGTGCTGGGCCAGCGCTCAGCAAGTTCCTTTCCCTGTTGAGCCAACCCGCCAGGCCGATTCCTGCTCTACAAGAAACACTTCAACACCAGTGTGAAATCCAAATCTCCCAAGCCCTATGGTACATCTCCCCTTCTCCTTCCTCTCTAAAATAAGTGCAGAAGAAAACAGCAGTTTTGCCTGAAGTAGCCTCAGAAGCCCCCCTCCACTATGGCTATTACTTTGTAAGGAATACCAGGATGCTTTCAGCTACTAGCTGCAGTGAACTTGGAACAGAGCTTCCTTT